TAGTCCTGAATGTCCTTTATCTAATACGACCAATATACGGGGTCAAACTACCCAAAGATCTGTAAGTATTCTATTAAAATAAAATTCAATTTCTATTTTTTATGTACTTAAATTTCATTTATTATTTTATAGAAATCGCGAGTGGAGGCAATGTTGGAGCGTGCTCTGATACAGCCACAACAGTGTTCCGTGGATCCACTCTACAACGCTCAAAATTGGGGAATTCCTATTTGGGCAATTGATAAACTTCAGGCTTGGCTTGACAAAATCTACACATCTATTAAAGATACAAATCATTTAAAACAATTAAGACACTCAAATCAACAAAGTTCAGTTAAAGATATAAAGGTCAGACATCTCAAGGGTTCTTATTTAAAATTTGAATCCTTTCAGAGGTAAGTTATTTAATATGCAAGATCTAGTAGAAGTATAAATCTCATTACTCTAAATCATAACATTATATCAACATAGGAATACTAGACCTGTATTTGTTGAACTGCCTGTGTGGCCAACATTGAATTTTCACGGTGATCCAGGATCTTGTCCTTTCAATACAAAGAGACGAGAAAAACTGGAAAAATTAGAAAAAGAAGTAAAAGAAAACAGGGAAGATATTCAAACTATTAACCAAGAGGAGGTAACATTAAATATATATTTAATCTATATTTGATACTATATTTAATTATATAATAATTAATCAATAAATTCTAAATTATTGTTTTAAACATGAACAGGGAAAAGAAATGACTCGGCGACCACGAACAACTGCCCGTACTCGAAGAACAGAACAATTAGCTTCCGGTTATTGTGAAATTTGCCGTATTAGATATCGAGATCTAACCAAACATATACAAAGCGATCAACATCTTAGTTTTGTCCGAAACGATGATAACTTTTTATCTTTGGATAAATTGATTAATGCAGGAGCCAATGTAGAAGCTTTCCTAAAACTAAATAGAGGAAAAAATGTAGAGTATGTAAAAAATTAGATTATTTATTCATAATAAGTATTAAAAATTTACTTAATAAACATTTATAAAAATTTATTTTTTCTTTATAGAAAAGACTGCAATTTATTTTCCAATGGAGATCGTAATCTTCATGACACAGTACTGCCAGAAGGAAAAATTAATAGAAATGCGAAAAGCTTAGGGGATTTTGATGTTGGAGATATAAAGATGGTACAACGTAATGGTACACGTAGGAATCTCAGTTTAAAATTAAATTCCTCTCATAATTTACGTACTCGTACAAAACATGAAAGCGGCCATTTGTTAAGGTCAAAAGGTAGCCCTTGGCACGAAGCTGAAAAAACAGAAAAATTTTATGATGAATTTGAAGGTTTCACTATTAAAAAACGTGCAAAAGGAACAATTTGGATTGAAGAAGATGATCCAGAAGATAAGTATATAGAAGAACATGAATTAAAAGAGTCTAAACAAAATGAATATAAGATTAAAACATTTTCGGCGGAATTAGAAGAAAAATGCTGCGATAAGAAAAATTATGATATGTGTAACAAACTTAAAGATCCTAGTAATCAAAACTCACAAAGGACAATAACTTGTAATAATGAAAAAAACAGTATTGAAAATAACATAGAATGTATTAAACAAGAACAAACTCCTACAAAAAATAGAAATCATGATCATATTAATGGAAACATAAAAAATCGTTGTAATGAAAATCTTTTAAATATAAATGATAATACTTGTAATGAATCTTGTAAAATATCGTCTAAAACCGAGACTCTAAAAGAATTGAATTGTAAATTACAGGTAGAGAATATTTCTTCGAATATAAAAAAAATTTCAGAAGAACATAATAATATTAATGTAAACAGCATTTATAATGGTCATACTATAAAAGATGAACAAAAAGTTAATAAAACACTGAATAATATAGAAAAAAATGAAATTTTAAAAGAAAAATCGAAATGTTTTAAATCAAATAGGAGAGGCAGTAGAAGCGTCAGAGGGCGACATAGGTTATCCGTTGAAGAACGTTTAATCGAAGATAATCGTGCATATTATAAAGTGGAAGTGTTAGGAAGTAAATTAAGATCGAGTGTATTATCAAACAATAATTCTCAATATACAGTTCCAAGAGATGGGGATGGTGAAGAAAAGAAAGAAGTGCCATCTAGTGAAAAGCCAGTAGTTGTACGATTTAAACGTGTAAGAAAATCAGAGCTATCATTACTAAGTGATGAAGCGGAATCTTTTATGTTTCGAGAACTTAAACGAGATGATTCAAGTGAAATAAGCGATGACGATGAACAGAGTAGTATATTACCAAGAGATACCGAAAGTGAATGTAACGATACCAGCAATTCCATATGTCGTAGTTCATTTGTAAATTCTAATTCATCTGTAAAATCGGAAATTGTCGAAGATGATTCTCAGGATTCTGTAAATTTGGGTCGAGCCAGAAAAAGAAGACGCACACAAGCAGAAGCATTAATCAAAGACAACGTTGATTATTATAAATTTGAAATTCCTGGAAGCAGATTAAGGTATCAGGCACCTTTAACTGGAATTAAAGATTCATCGATAAGCGAAAATCAAGAAAAAATAGAAGGGATAATTCCCGAGAAAAATGCACAAACAGAAAAGATATATCCGTCCAAACCCTCACCTGAAGTTGAAAAAATGCAATTTTCTTTCGAAGCTGTACCAAAATCTGAACCATGGTATCAAACATACCAACGACAAGACAAAGGAGCTGAATTTTGGCATTATTTTACTGAAGGAGATTCGGAAAAACCATTTCTTTTACCGTATGAAATTGAAAATTTTCATGAAATTTTGATGAAAAATCAAAACAGAGTTGAGAAAAGAAAAATTCGTGGAAGGAGTATGGGATGTATTGGACGATCTCCTAGAAAAAGTCCTCGTTGTCATGCTTCTACATTAGCTATTATGTCAACTATTATTAGAAAAAGAGAACAACAACAACAATCTTCGAATTTGCACACAATAGATGAATACCAATCTATCAGATCTCAAACAAATACTCCGGGACTGGATCAAAAAACTGAATTAAAATCGGATATAGACGAAGAATTAAAGGAAATGATAAAAAGTATTGATGAAATGCTTGATAATGCAAACGATAGTTTAGAATTGGTTGAATTATATGAACCAGATATAATGCAAATGGAATTGAATCTTTATGAACCAAATATTCCAAGAGGACCACCTCCAAATCTACTTGAATTATTGGACAGTTGTCACGAAATCGTAAATTGTTTTGAAAATTCATCATGTGCAAGTTCCGAGTGTGGTGAAGGTAGTGTAGAATCCCCTTTAAAGCGAAGAAAAAAGAGGAAAAATAGAACGGGCTGGCCTGGAATCAAAATGAAGAAAAAACTCCAAAGTAAACCTTTAACAGATATAAATTGTGACAGGGAAAATTTAACAGAGAAAAATATTGAACAAAGCGGGAAAAATTGCAATGTACAAATCACAAATATATCTAATAGATTAGCAGAAGAAAGTAATATCAAAATAGGTACGTCTATTACGGGTATTGTACAAGATGAACAATCATTAAGTTTCGATCAAAGAAAAGATGACAGTCGTTTATTTGAAATGTATACTTCTAATATTTCGTCTAATATGCGTCACGACGAAAACGAAAAAAAAGATGTAAGTATAGCGGTTTCCGATAATTCCATATTACATACAACAAATGCTGAATCCTGCACAGGTTCGCTTACATCTGATGTATGCAACGAGACTGACAGGAATTTCGTATTAAACAAAGATTATGGATTCAGAAAAAGTTTGTCTGAGATCGAAGAAATATCAGAAAATGATCCCGGAAATGATGAAAATCATGAAAATATGTTTCGGAAAGATATTCATTCCATATCGGAACGTCGATTTATTTCAAATGCAACTATCAAAAAACGACAACGTGACAATACGTCCTCTGAAACTTGCGATTCGCATGTAGAACTTGAAAATCATGAGATTTTGTGTAGAAAAGATGCCGAAACTAGAATTGTTCCCAGGAAACATCATAACTCAAATGGATTACCAAGAAAACGACAACAGAAGGTTCATTCTGAAAACTCTGATTCTGAAATTGAACAGCATCATCATCATCATCATCATCATCATCATCATCACCATCACCACCATCACCATCATAATAATGTATATAAAAGAAACACAGTAAATTCGCGAAAACGGATTTATGCAAAAAAGCGTGCGAGAAAAAATAATATATCTTCGAATACAGTATTTGAAGATGAAAATTGTAAAAAAGATTCCTATTTAAGTATTACGTGTAAAAAGCAACAAAATATGAGAGGTATAAAACGACGAGCTAATACTATGTCATCGGAAACGCAAGTATCTGAAGTCGATTGTGCATTATCAGGACATATTAGTCCAACAATTATAGCAACTTCTGAACTTGAACAAAGACGTTCAAGTATTGAATTTCAACCAGTTGTTAGGATGATGAAAATCGATGATCAAGTTGAAATGGATCACAGTATTCTCTCGGTAACGATTGCAAGCAACAGACGGTTACGAAGTTCCAGTTCACCGAGATCGAATACTCAGCCGCCGAAAAAGCGTTTAAAAAACAATCGCGGTCAGTTCGGAAGATGGTTAAAAAATAGCTGAAATCCTCGATAAGATTTTTTGATAGCTTAAGTTTCAAAATCGAGATTCACTTTTTTTTACAATATCTCGTTGTTGAAATTTAATCTATACATTTTATCAATATGTAAATTATGTATAAAGTATTTGTGTATGTAGAATAGTATTTAACACTACTGGCGCACCATTAATAGGGTTTTATTAATATTTTCCTTAATATCCTTTTCCGATAAGAATTCTATTAAGAACCTTGTACAATGTTGTTTAGGTGCAGACTTCGCATTTTTGAATCAGAAAATTGACGTACGTATGTATATCTATGTTTAAACAAAGTACTTTCTTTTATTTTACTTATCTTGATATACGTACAAAAATATACACATGTGAAAGAAGTTATTTTTATTCATAAAAAGCAGGCTTTAGAATACGCAATGCTGTATACAAGCTTTATTGTAGTGTAACAATAATTTTCTGTTATAAAACACATCATTGAATGTAATATATATATTCAATATATATACATATATATTGAATTCCCTTGCGAGGGTCCACCTAAATATTTTATTCAAAAAAAAAAAAAATGCAAGCCTTTTGCGATTTCAAAAAAGAGATGACTATTAAAGATATGAATTTTCCATTAAAAATTATAACGGATGGATTCTACATGCTCCTAACCTTTCTTGTTTTATATTTAATTATGATATAATATATAAATTTAATGTTATAGTATATAACATTTAACTTAACTTTTATTAGGCAGCATATTATAAATATTTAAACTAAAAATTTTTTTAAATTTATTACGTTATATTCTTGATTATTTTAAATTCTCGCGTTCTACGAATGCATTTTTTAAATCTTCAAGTTTTTTTTTCTTTTGTTTTTTCTTAATAGAATCTCTTTTCATTAATTGTTCCTTTTGATTTTGAAGAGAATTTTGACCATTAACTAAATTATCTAACCTTGTTAACAGTATTTTTCTAGCAATTTTTCTATTTTGATCTAAACTTCTAGTTTCATGACATTTTACAACTAATCCTGTAGGTTTGTGTTTCAAAACTATTGCATTAGATGTCTTGTTAGTTGCTTGGCCACCTGGTCCAGATCCTTTCACAAATTGCTCTTGTAAATCACTTTCTTCAAGCTTAGGTACTCTTGAATAATCCAAAAAACGTTTGTACGATTTATATCGAATTTGTTTCTCACTATTTAACAAATTATACCAATTAATATTACTGATTTTACAACATAAAGATCCAGACATTTTTTTAAAAAGTACTGATAATATATACGTATTACTACGTTCGTTGGAATATATTTTATTAAACAATTTCAGTATTGCAATAAAAATTATATAATTATATTTGTTTAATTTCACTATAAAAATTTTATATTTATACTATTCGTTGATTTTGTAAGAGTTTTTTTCCTTTCTGAAAAAATTATATAAAAGAATAAAATTATTTTTAGGTTAAGTATAAATTTTATTATAATTTTTTTTTTCAAAATATTTGTGATTAAAAAAATTGAAATTAAATTAAATTTTATGAATATTTACCTGCAACTGAAAATCAATATCTGTTTGATCAGTTAAATGTTTATTTTGTTTAAAATTTTTACGAATTCTAAATCGAAAATATTCTTTATCTGTATATTTCAAATTTTCACCGTAGCGCAATAAATCTTTATATAATTTTAAAACCGTATTTCTCATTTTATAATTTTATTAATAATTAAAATTTCTTATATTCTATTTATTATACAACTAATTTCTTTTTATTTAAATTAATGATACTAAATACTGATTTCCAGTCAATCTTCTTCTTAACCTTTTACCGTCAGTTTCATATATCGTTATTGATTACTAACACATTTGTTAATTTTAAATTTATTTTTCAAAAAAATTTAATTTATTTTTATTTATTTTAATATAAATAATAAATATATTTAATTAAAATTATTAAATTTTAAATTGCAGAAAAAAAAAAATACATTTGATTTTAATTTTTTTGAATTATTTTTAATTCTATTATTAATATCATTTAAATTTTTGCAATCTTTTCCTATTATATCACTTTTATTTTTTATAAATAGAATTAAAGTAGGAAAATAATAATTAAACCTTGGTATGAAAAGTAATTTATTTAAAAAGTGATACTTTAAATAAAAAATATTTGAAAAGTTTTTTGCTTTGTATAAGTATGATTTCTTATAATAATTCCATATACACAAACTTTGTTATTACAATTCTTGAAACTCCATTTCAAACAGTTTCTTAATTATATTATTCATTTGTAACTCTTCTGTTATTTCAATTATTAATTCCTCTATCAATTTATCAGATATCCTATTTAAAAATATTATTGTTTAATAGATTGAATTAGTAGATTTAGATTGAAGTATTTATGAAATGTAATTTAATTTTCTCACCATGCTACAATGTCCCATGGTTTATTTTGTGTATTGCTGGAATACATTGGTTTTGATTGACAAAATTTTTTATATTCACATCTATATGTTAAAAATTGTAGCTCAATTTCTTCTGAAATAGCAAGCTGTATTGTATCTTTAATATTTGAATCCACAATTTTTCCATTGTCAATAATCTAATTATTTATTATAAAAATATATGTAATTTCATTTTTTTCAATTAGATATAATATATTTTACATCACTTACTTTTAATGCAATTTCATAATCTACTTGACATGAAGCATCACATTGAGTCATTTTAGGAACTTTTTCCATGGAAGATATACAAATGAATTGTACATTTTCATCACGTTTTTTAATTTCAGATAAGCTGTTGCAATGCATAAAATATTCAGTTTTATTTTATTTAATCAATATCTATTTTTATTATTGTGTTCTATTTACCCATTTAAATTACAATATGATTGTTCATAATTGTTTTTTGTTAAAGTTGTTCTAGTATCATAATCTTTAGGAGACTGATATTTTTGTAAAAATTCTCTTAATGTTTCCATGGATGTTTCCGAAACAGGTTGCATCTCAGATTCGTTTTGCTGTCATATAATTTATAATAATGTTAATTTTTAATAATATATAAATTAAAAATATTAAATTGAAATAAGTTTACCATTCTCGACACAAAAGTTATTAAATCGTTTATTACAGGAACTAAAGTAGCCAAATGTTCTTTAGGAATTGTGGTTACTTTTTTAATTAAATCATTTTCATCAGTAACATTTTCTACTTTGATATTTCCCCCTTTTTTTCGTATTGCAACAGATTGTGGTTCACTATTTGTAGTAGGTTTACATTTAGTTTGAATTTCTATATTGCTGTCCTATTTTATAAAATTAATTACTTATTAAGTTTTCTCTAGAAACAATTATCGATATATCTTACATTTTCAGAATCTATCGTTATTCCTTCCATCATAGTTTGAATATCATCTTCTTTTAAGTTGTTTATATTTTTCATAGAATCAATATGAACAACATCTCTAGAAGAAGTTGTATGAGTTATAGGACTGGGATACAACATTTCTGATAATGAGCAATCCTGAGTATATAAGTTTTTACCATCCTTAGTATCATTTCCATTTTCTTTTTGATAAGTATAATCTGTAAAATATATATGTAAATTCATAATATGTTTAAAATAATGAAGACCAAATAATATGAAACCTTAAGTAGTTTTCGTATACTTTTTCTTCTTATGTAATTTCTTCTTTTTTGGTTAGTCTTAGATATTTTAACATCCATATTGTACATACTTAATCGACTAGATAAATTTTTTCGATTAAAACGTCCTTTGTTAGGTAAAGATATTGATGCAGTAGTTATAAAAGATTGAGCATTTTTATAATTCGCGTATCCATATTTGCTTTCTAAATTTAATTTCAATTTCGCTAATATAGCATCGCATTTATCTTGAAGATTTTTTCCCTGCAAAAAAAAATTAATTAATCAATTTTAATGATTTATAAATATAAATAATGAATTACCAGCGGTATAATGGTGGTATCTCCAGAACAAAAGTAATAAGAAGAGATTTCAATTTTATCACAAATATTTATCAGATTGTAAACAATTTGTAATACATCTTGCAATTTTGTAGAATGACCATCAAGAATAGAATTAGGAATGTGTTTACAATAAGCAGTTAAAGCTTGCATTAATAATTGATGTGCAGCAACTAATTTTTGTTTAATCATATCTTGATGAAATGCAATATTTTTATGATATTGTTTTAATCCTGATCTTGAAGACACAGCTTTGATATGTCTTTGAATGCTTGTAACAAATCTATTTAAATTGTATAAATAATTTCTTGAAAATCTTATAGCAAATTCTAATGTTTGTTGTTGTCTTCTTTTCAAATCATTTTCACCATCTGGTAAAGGAATTCTGCATAATCTAAATAAAATTTCATCTAACAATTCAGCAATTTTCTTTTGCATTGATAAAAGTTTTTGTATAGTAAGTGGATCTGGTTGTATATAAACAATATTTTTATTATTACTTGAATCTGTATCAGAATTATTTTCAAAATGATTTGTTGCACGAAGAAGTTGGTTTGTAAAACATTTTTTTTCTGTGATAGTAGAATCTGACAAAGATTTTTTAGCTTTGGATCTAAAAACTGTTTTCTGTCCTTCAAATTCCTTAGATATACAAATATTATTGCTTTGTGAAGTTGGAATTAAAACATTAGTTTTGCATGTATCTTTATTCTTTGTTAATATTTTTTCTTTTGAAGAATTATTTCTGATATTGTTTACCTAATTTGAATCAGTTAATATCAATTTTATTTATTATAATAAATTAAAAAATATTTATTATAAGTAAATGTTATAATAAAAATTTAAAAGCACTTACTTTTGAATAAATCATTTCATTTTTAACATTAGATTTAGGGTTTTGAATTCCTTTGCTTCGTTCAGGAAGAGCATCTTCTTCTAGTCTTTTCAATTCTCTATCTACATTTTGTATATTTTCTTGCAACAGATCTTTTATATTTTGTATAGAATAGTCAACATCTTTTTTGTCAAACCTCAAACTATTTAACTCCTGTTCTTTGACGAATGAAGCCCAGATACGTTCCTCATCCTCCTTACGTCTGTGTCTCTGTACATTTTTTACTATATGTTTAAAATGACTCTCAGGTATGTACTATAATAAAAAATATCTGCTTAATTAATAATGTTTATATAAAATATAATAATTATTATATATTATATATATATATATATATATTTGCCAATTTATATAAATACCTTAAAGCTATAATCTTTAGTTACTTCTAAAGAAAGAAAATGTTCTCTCTCTTTATTGTTTATTTCATTGGTTGATCTATTTTCTACCATAAAAGACATTCTTTCTTAGAATTGGATTAGTCTGAATTGAAATTTTATATAAGCGATAATTAAATTTTATTACATTTACGTGATAACACAATAAAAAAAGTATATCAAAAAATGTGTGAACTCCAGAAAAATGAATGTATGTCTATTTGTTTTGGATAATAATATAGAAGAAAGTTAAAAAATTGCCTTCTATTCCGTTTTTGAACAGGAGTTAAATTAGCATCTTAACCTCGATATTTTAACAACGTATCAAAAATACTTCAGAGTATTCTTTCAAATCGAAATTTCACATTTTATTACTGAATAGCATGTATACATATGAGTCTAAAAATATACGTTCATAAATACATATATATGCACTTTTATTACTTATATTTTAGTTAATAAATAATTTGTAATTATATTTGTAATAAATTATAATTAAAATTATAATGTTTTGTCACTTTATTTCTTTATTACGTCATATAAGAAAGTATTATTATATCAATACAAAAATTTCTTTATTTTAAATTTATTAAAAGAAAATTTATTTATTAAGAAAAAAATTATTTACATAATTAAATTAAAATAAAGAAATTTTGTTTTAAAAAATTATTAATTATAAAGATTTACAGAAATAAATTTCAAAATAATATTGATAAAAGTGTGGGTGCGGTTAAGGCGTGCTATCATTTGTTAACTATCATTGGATCAATACTCACGCGCGCAAGGATAGAGAAAAGCCAGGTGTCGTGAACGAGTTTTGTCCTGCGTATCTGAACAGTCCACCTGACGATCTATACATTTGCGCGCTTGCTTTTAAAATCATCTAAATAATGTCATAGTAAACTTTTATTATTCTTGGATTATAGTATAATTAAATTTTATACATGTTCGAGGTAGTTTATGATTGGTTTATAAATTTTCAATTAAATATTCGCTTAAAAGGATTAAAATTCTCTGCAGAGATTATCATAAGTAATTTTTATTGTTAAAGTATTAACCAATCCTTGATGCGATGTGACGTCAGGAAATTCAGGCGCAGAATCCACATCTCTAGACTTCCGATTACTCACATTCTATCGAGTTTTCGCATTTTATTACGGAAAACGTCTGGAAATTTAAATATAATTTGGTAATGTATAAAAGAAAACAATTTTTAAATTCTTCTTTAAAATTTAATTTATTTTACTTTCGTTTCATTTTTTTTTATCATATTTATTTATTTTTTGTTAGTTATATTTTTACGATGATATAAGATATACCGAATAATGTAATAATACAAAATAATCTTAATTCATACGATAAACAATGCATTACTATGTCGTACAATTATTACGACATTTTCTTCATTTACGTTATGAATTCTCAAATTAAAAATTATTATACATAATTAAATGTATATTTAATTACATTATTGTATATTTAATATTTTGCTGTTAATTTATACAATAATATTTTTTCTTTATAAATATTTTAAAGTTTTCCAAATAATATTTTTTAGTTATATTATATTTTTTTAAATTCATTTTATGTAATAATTTTCAGATTTTCAGAAAACATGATATGCTTTTAATGGAAATACTTTTTATGATAATAAGATAATTTCTACCTTTGTATCTTATAAAGAATTATATTATCAAGTCTACAAATATTTATGTTTTTACATATCAAGTGAATATAAACTTTCTCAAGATGACATCTACTGTATTAGTTAAATTACCAACTGTACCTTTTCCTCAAGTAAATATTATCTAAATCTTATTTAAAATATAAATACTTCAATAATTAAAATAATCAATGAAATGAATTATTATTATCTAATATGTATAAAAATTATTTTTAGGGAAAGAAATCACCATCAGATATAATAACATTAACAGAAAGAAATGAAGGATTGAATCAAAGTATAAGGCATCAAACTATAAATATTGATAGAATAGCACAATTGGAACAAAATATGAAATTTTTACAAGAACAACATCAAGCAACTTTAGTGGCTTTGCATCAAGAAGTAGAATCCTTACGTCAAAAGAATAGAGGTTGACATTTCATAATATTATTTATTAAAAATATATTTTCATGAATAAATAAAATTCTAATATTGTATAATTATATATAGATTTACAGTTTCAATTAGTATTTTCAAAAGGATCTTATTTACCTAGCAGTCCTTCTTCTCCTGAAGATAATGGAACTGGGTTTATGAAACCAAAGGTATTCTCTACAAAAGAAGTTTTATATTTAATATATATATATAGAAGTAATGATAATATAAAAAATTTATACAAATATTTTCTTTCTTCATAGGGTAGCCCAGTATGTGTAAATATTACACCATTACAAGTAGAACTTTTGGAGAAAGATTTACAAGATACAAAAGTATCTTTGCAAGAAGCTAGAATACAGAATCAATATTTATCTGAAATCATTGAACAACAAAAAAAGTTAGTAGTTGTAATAATTATGAAAAATGTTTAGTCATAAATTATTTATAAAACTGCTGTAAAAAATTGCATTTATTGCAGGAAATTGAATTCTCTAGAAGAACAAAAAATAAATAAAGAATCAATGACAGATGTAGGAATCCAGGTGGGAGATACATTTGATTCTACGAGAGCACATTTAGTTGCATGTTTGGAAAGTACAGAAGCAGTGATAAAACGATTACGTAAACAAAATGAGGAGCAAAGAGAAGAGATTGCAACATTGAAAGCAACATCGACAAATACAAATGGTAACAAGGGAGCTCGATCTCGTGATAGTAATAATAGTCATCATAGTCGTGGATCACCTACAAGTACCTTACAAGAACAATCTCCTCATATATTTCCTCCATTACAAAGTTATTGGCATCATAAAACAATTAGGTAACGAAATTATAAAATGTTAGAGAGATATGTTATAGATCTTCGTATAATATGAATTTATACAAGATAAAACATATCTCGTACATCGTACAACTATCTATAATATATTTATCTATATATATAATATATTATATTATAATATATTTTAAACTTTTATTTGAAAAACTTTATGTGGATTGTAGGAATGGAAGAAATCGACATAATAAATTAGATCATCAAACAGAGATGGATGCAACTATGTTACCACAACTTCAAAATAGCAATATAAAATTAAAAAATTTCAATTCGATGATGTTTGAATCTTTGTGTTATCGGTCTCGTGGACATCGCAATTATTATCGCGATGAAAGTAATCGAAAATATAGAGGAAATATTTCACAAAAAGATCGTAGAGATAGTGATCATAATCATCATCATAATCGACGGGATTATAAAGATAGAAGTTCTAAAAACCAACAAAAAGAATTAGCAGATTCAGCGGAAGGATCAAGCGAGGCTGATAATTCTGCGAGTGGTAAATCATAAAATAAAAATAGTCTGTTAATACATCAGATGGTAGCAGACATCCTGTTCTCTATTCTATATATGAATTATATAAAGAAGACTTTAAAAGCGGTATATTTGTTAATAAAAGAATGATCTGCGTTTTCTTATATTCGCTTTAATAAGATAGTATTAGTCACATGCATATCGCTTAAAGTAGGATAGTCGTAATATCAATTTATGTAAACTTTAATGTAAAAATCTAGTCAAATTTTACTCCTTACATACTATTGATATAAAAACAAAACAATATTTGCGCTTTATATGAATAAAAAATATAGCTTGTATAATTATTTCTGCTGTTACAAAATAAATAGAAAAATATATAACTATATCATTTTTAATAAAAGAAATGTATTCCTATTTATGTAAAAATATAATCGCAATGATAATTAAAAATAATTAAAAAGAACAAAAGTATGAAGAATAACAATAATTATATAATTATAATAATAATAACAATAATAAAAAATATGAACAATATTTATGCAATGTTATTTTCTGAAGCTTCAAATGATAAAAACTTAAATTTACTATATAAGTGACATTTTAATTATTTATAATTTATAATATTATTTAATATTATTTGTATATACTTAAAAAATAACATGTAAATCAACGATTCAATTATTATTTATATTATAATTTAATATGATAAAAACATTAAAATTTTATTTTAATTTATTTTTATTTATTTTTAATTTATTTAATTTTAATTTATTATCATTTTTAATGCTACTGATTCAATCTAAAATAAGACAGTAATTAGTAATATTTGGAATTGAACCTAAATTTTAAGATAAAATTACAAAAAAAGAAATAAAACAAATATTTTGTAAAAATGGATCAAATAAATTCTATTAAGATTGTTAACTCAATAGATTAAGCGAAAAAGACAATAAAGAAAAATAGATATCGGAGCCGTTTTTTGAATCCATAAATTTTGTAAAACAAGTATACATAAAGAGAAGCATACAGATAAAATAAAAAATTATAAATCAGTGTCATCTCTAAAGTATTGCAGATTAAACATAATAAATATAAATAAGAGCGAATAATAGAAAAAAATAGAGATAAAATAAAAATTGATTATTAATACCATCTTTTTTAAAAAGCAAACAACTTTAGAGTTTTCCAAAAATGAAATTGATTCTTAACTCTTATTCTACCTTACCATACTTTGAAGAAATATTTTTGATATTCAAAAGATGGCTCTAATAATCAATTCTTATGTTATTTCTATCTTTTTCTATTGTTTTTTATTTTTTATATTATATGTTTTACTTGCGGAATTCTGTAGATGGCGTCTTAATATCTTATTTTATATTATCTTATTTAATTTTATATTATCTTCATCTTTGTTCCACTATTTGTTCTTCTTTTCTACGTTTCTTCTGTAAAAGTAGTGAAGAAACGATTTCAATGTATGACGTATTATTTATATAGGAAGTAGGAAATAGCTAGGTATAATTAGTTATGACGTAATAAAGAATGATAGAAGGAGATTAGTTTTTCTCTTATTAAAAACGGTTGGTGGCGTTAGCGTTGGCGTCAAATTACTTGCAATATTTACAAAATAATAAAGGCACAAACTGAAATTTTCAAATGACACACATGACTGAGGTAATTATATTTCAAATTTTAAATAATAATTAATTAATTTATTAATTAATTATTAATAATTAATTTAATAATATATTTTAAATTCATATGGAATTATTATAGGTAAACTTTGGTGATTTTCAAATGGAAGAAAGATATAAAAAATTAGAACGAACTTTAAAACTAGCTTCACTTAGAAAAGAAAACAGAAAGAAAGATGAATCTACATTACGTGCAACTCCTTCAAGTATTAATATAGATTCATTTGATTCTAGTATTAATGTTCCTCAAAGTTCCAAAATTGATAGTGAAATTGTTTCTTCAAGTAATAATTTGAGAAATGTACTTTTGAAAAGAAGAAATATTAACAGTAATCATAAGATATTTGCTACATCTAGTGTTAGAAAGTTTAATGAAGAAAATAGCTGTCAGAAAGATTATCTTCAAATGCCACCACCTAGTTTTGACATTAATTTTTATAATTCTAAAAATTCAAATAATATAGGAACATATAATGTTTCAAAATTTTTATTACAAAATAAATGTAATACTTCTGATGTTGATATTATATCGCCAAAAAAAGAACAAAATTACAGATTTTCTAATAATAATGAAAAATGTATTGATACTTCTTTATCTATTAATTCTAATAATTTTCAATATAGAAATATTAGAATATTTACAGAATGGAGAGTTATATTAAATGAACAAAATTTATTGATTATTAAAGGAAAAATTGAATGGTAACTTCTATAATATATAATTTGTAATTTTAATTTTATATATTTAACTTTTAATTATTTATCTAATGATTCTTATTTTTTATTAATTCATATTTATTTTTATTTTTGCTATTTTAGTGGAATTATTGCTCGGAGTAAGCCTATTATAAGAAGATTAACAAATACTAAAATTGAATCTGTTTGTAAACATTTGTATCATTTGCAGGGAAATATTGTTGATAATAAGTGTGGTAAATTTCAATATTTATTTTAATATTTAAATATTCTTATTTAATGTTTTGCTTATATTTTATTTTATTTTTTATATTTAGAATTACCAGCTTATGTTAGAGGTAAATTTTATGATGGATTTCCTGATGATTGGGAAAATGTTTATGAAATTTGGAAAATGTTTGTACAACAAGGATGTAGTGCAACATTTCGTTGGCCTACTCCTATCACAGATAGTGATGATGATATAAAAAGTGAAATTACTGATATCACATTTGCTTATTCAACTAGTCCTAAGAATAAAATATCTCCTAAAGAATGTTTATCTGAACAGAAAATAAAGAATAAACAAAATTCTTATTCATATAATAAAAAAAGTGATTCATTTACACAGACACATATATCTGATGTAACTGAAAATTTATGTTACAATGGAGAAAATATTCAATTTTTAATAAATCAATATACCAATAACAAAGAAAATTATAAACAAAAAGATAATATGAATTTAAATTATTGTCACATTAAAAATAAAACAAGAAATGTTAATGATATATTAAATGTTATTGTAAATAACTTAACAGATAAAAATTGTTCTCAAGAATATATTAATAAAATATTTGAGATATTAGATTGTTTAAATTATGTTGTATCATACAAATCCATTCAAGATAGAGCTAATGTTGAACATACAAAATTAAAACAAAATATACATATAGAAGAAAAAAATAGTGAAATAAATTACAATTCTTCAGAGTATATTCAGTCTGAAATAGGAAAAAATTATAATAATTCATTATCAAGAAAAAGAACTTTTACAGAAATGAATAATACCAGTGCTTCCGATAGTGAAAGTGCAACTTATACAGGAATTCCAAAAATACCTATAGAACGGATAATACGACAAAAAAAAACATTATTAAAATCTTCTAAACGTAAAATAAGAAAAAAAGAGATATTGCAAAATCATAATAGTCAGAATAAACAACGTATTTCAAATATATCTTTAACTACATCAGATTATTGTACTAATATGAACTGTAAAAATGTAAGATCTGAAAAAATAGATTTTAATGATTCTAGTATTAGTATTACCGAGGACGAAAGAGATTATTTAAAAGTAAATGATATTTGTCCAAATTTTCAAAATAATGTTGATAAATATATAGAACCTAAAATTATAAAAGAAGATGAACAAAATATACATAGAATTCACAAATATTTTTCACAAAAAGATACAAGAGCTATTCACAAATCTGTTGAAAATTTACATGATTCTTACGAAAAAATTAAGATAAATGAATGTAAGACTGAAATACCTCAGAATATAATAGAAACAAAATCTTGCATTGAAGCTAATAATAAAAATAATCAAAATCATTTTTCTCATGAACAACATAAAGAATATTCTTCTTCAAAAAATACCATAAATGAAGTAACAAAACCTGTTGTGCTTAGCTCAATTCCTATTGATATAGAAATTAAAAATAGACAATTATATACGTTACAAAATCCAAAAGAATCTTTGATTGGGGATGAAAATAAAATTATTGAAGAATTACGCGAAATCAAAAAGAGAACATATCAAAAATCTCCTATAAAATTTAATACTACTTCAAGAAAAAATTCAAATTCGTCATCCGATAGTGAACAGCATTTTAAAGAAAATATTAAAATTCAACTAAATAATATGGATTCTATTATTACAAAAAGATCTTCATATGATAATTCAAAAATTTCTAAAGATAATAAACATAATATAAATAATAAACTTACAGATGATATTAAACCAAAATTATTATGCGATTGGACACCAAGAGTTTTATTCAAATCAGGATTAAATTTAATTTTTGAAGGAAATTTATTAAAGTAAGTTACAAAATATTTTACACTATTATATATTTGTATAATGTAATATTTCAATGTGAGAAATATATTATTATATCTATATATAGTGAAATTGGCCACATTGTACATAGAAAGTTTAAAACGGATAAAATATATCGTCGAATATCAGGAAAATTGGTCGAGACAATTCATCATGAATTTTATCAATTAGTTGGCAATTTGCGTGATACAAAACATGGTTAGAATCTGAAATATTATATTTAATAATATTTATACATTTATATTTTTTATACTTATATCTTTTATATATTGATTATGTTTATATTTTATATAGGTATACCTAAAAAATTATTAAGGAAATGTCGCTATGGTTGTCCTGTTAATATAGAACAATTTTGTAAAGAATGGGAATTATTACAAAATTGTAAGTTAATAATAGCTAATAATAATCAATAATAGATGATATTAATATTTAAGATAATCTAAACATAAATTGTTTATGTTAAGCTATAGATATTGTCGATTATGAAAACAATACAAAAAAATGTAATGATATATCAATGGATAATATAAATGTTAGTCGGAGTTCAAAAGGTAGAAGAATAATACCTCCATTAACTTACTGGACAGGTAAAATATGAATATTTAATTTTTGTATATATATATAAAATAATAAAAATATTAAAAAATATAATTAAAAAATACTCATTTATTTTTACATTTCTTCTATTTGTAGGAGAACGCATTATTATGAAAGATAATAATCTAGTATACAAACCTGGCACTATTCAAAATAACAATAATAAAATTAATAATAGTTTGGAGGTACTAAAATTACTTATCATCCCTAACTAATATAATTTTTATGATATATATATTTATAAAAAGATCACAAATTTCATATTGCAGCATGTAACTAAAAATTCACTAAAAATGTTAATGGAAAACACAGAAAATATTGTGAAAAAAATAAAAAATAACAAATCTAAAAAAAATTGCAACCAAAAATACGAAAAAAACAAGAATGTCAGAATCAAGTGATTCTAGTAATGATCATAATATTTCCGTATATAAGGTAATTTTACTTATTTTTGTTTTTATGTTTTTTTGATTTACATATTTTATTTTCTTTATTAGGATAAGATAATGAAGATAACATCTAATTCCATAAATGTATCGGATAAACAGAATTCAAAACCTATAAATATTGAAAATTCTGTAAGTATAATGATATATTTATTAAAAAACATATTTTTTAAAATCATTAAATTATTTTAATAAAATTGAATTATTTCTAAAGCATGAATCTTGCACAAATGTTACCAAAACAAAAGCGGCAGTAAAAAAGTCAAAAGTAAGGAAAAATGTCGAATCAAATACATCATTTCTCGGCACTTCTAAACAAATGTAATTTGCAAGTACATTGTTAATAACATTTTTATGATCATGGATTTAATAGCATTCATACGGTATGTTTATTCAGGCATGAGAGTCATCAGTCTTCAGTTGAAAGATATCATGATATAGTATGTATGTATTATCAAGGTATTCCAAATAAAGATGATATATTATCCGATGATCAAGTCTCACATGTGTGAAATAACATTAAAGTTAACATAATATTATATTTTTTATAGTTATGACTAACATAATATGCGTGTTTAATTACATTTCTAAATAAGAAATTATTCATTTTATAAATTATTTTTGTTTTATATAATTGAAAAAGGATGTTATACTTATTAGAAAAATAAAGCAAATACACAAGATAAAATTGATTTATTATTTAATGATGTAATTTAACAATTGTAAAAGTATGTAAGAAACATGTTGCATTGCTTCATTAAAAACATAAGAACTGTACAATAACTTGATGTCAATAAAACTAAAACACAAATAAAAAATATGCTATACATAATAATAATATTTGATTTGATATATTAAGATATGAATAAAAATATAAGTAAAATTTAAGGTTCATATGTTTTTACATCGCACTCAATATTTATATATATATATATAAATATATATATATATATAATGTATATATGTATTTTTTAAAGGCAAGTATTTAAGTAAATTAATATGTGTATGCTATATGCATGCATGCATATATACACATATGAGATAGTAAATATACATGTATATTCGAAATGTGTTATTTTATTTTTCAATTAAATATATCAACATAAAAGAAGATATTAGAATTGATGAATAGTAAAATGCTTTATACAGTGTCATTGACACTTATAAAACTAACTGTAAAAGCATTTTCAATGAAATATGAATCGTGATTTTTTTTAAAATTCTGTTCTTTTTTTTTTTTTTTTTTACGTCTTATGATATGATATAATGGAAAAGCAATGAACTTGTTAACTTTCATCATATAAAGGAGTACCATCTCCGCTAAGAGACATACTTCGAGGACTAGAATTGGTATGAGGAGTACCTCGAGGAGATTTATACGAAGGTGTCCGATTCGAAGTTCTATTTCGTGGAGTTGTTCTTCCAACCGACTCTTCATAATTTCTAGGAGTCTTTCTAGATTCTTCGTATCTTGGAGTAGAAGTACTATAAAAAGAGAAAAATAAAAATAGAAGAAAACAAATATGAAAGTAAAAGAGAAAATACTTACGATACACGTGGACCGCTTTTTAATCGTGCCCATGCTTCTGCTGCTTTTTTCCAATCCATAGGATCGCCAGGTGTTGACATAGGTGGCGTAGGTCTATGCGATGGTGTTGATCTGTGATGTCCACTTATCCCCGAAGGTGGAGGTGGATGAATAAAAGGACCTTGTTGATGATTGGGTGTTTGTTGCCCATATCTTGGAGTTGGTTGACCATGATGATGTGGAGTATGATGTGGTGTTTGATATGGTGTCATGAAAGGCGTTTGTCCAGAAGGTGTATATGGTGTATTAGGATAAGTATGAACCCCAGCATAACCAGCGGCACTTGTAGTTCCTGGTGTGTGCGGTGGATAATGATGTGGAGTTTGATTTGCAACTTGTGATAAAGAATGTAACATATGATGAGGAAGATTTTGAGCCACTCTTTGTATAGCTTCTTGATTCATTCCTGTAACATTATAGTAAAATACAGATATTAAACAAATATTTGTCAACAAATTAATAAAAATTGCGATTGAATACATACCACTCACTGCTCCTGGTGTTGTATGATAAGGTGTTCTAGATGTCATTGCGCCACGTGGAGTACTAGGTGTAGATTGTCCAGGTACTGGATCTCGAAAATGTTCCTTGAACCATCGAAACAAATCGTTTACTCTACCAAACATTTGTCCTCTGAATCTAAATCCTTCTGGTGATACTGTCACATATTCATGACGACATCGAGTTCGTGGAAGATAAGATAATAAAAATTTCCCAGGATAATTCTGAAACAATAAGAAAATGTAAACATATTTAAATTCTATTGTATATTTAAGTTGATTTGAAAGTAATTCTTACCAACCTTTGCGGCAGATATTATGTATGGAATTCCTCCAGGATTTTCTTTTTTCTGTTCTTTCAATATATCTTCTGCTTTATCTTTAATACCTTCTACAGTTGCTTTATAATATTTAAAATCCAATAATTCTGAAGCATATGCAGCCATAGGATTTACATGTCTTGCAATAATTTCATCTAAATCTTCGAATTCTTCATTTCCAATCCACAGACTTTGACCAAGAGAAAAAGCATTTTCTTTTCCTTCTTCTCTTACATCAATATGTTGATACACTTCATCCGTAACTTTCCATGTGACTGTTAAGTGATCGGCACCTTTGCTGCTTGGTCTAACTATAGCTTCTCCTTGTTTCATTGTTTGCATTAATTTTTCAGCTTCTGCAAAACTAATATTGTGAAAAGAAGGATGCACGATTACGCGTTTTACATATGTTTGACGTTGCTTCGCTTTTTTTGCATCTTCTTCAACTTTTGCATCTCTTTGTTCTGTTTCCGTGTCGTAAAATGGATCTCTTTGTGGTCTGAAAATAAAAAAATTCGATATTACTATATTCAATTTTAAAATATTATAGATGCTAAAATTATGAAACACATATTTTCATACCTCCATTCATGATTTTTATCCGCGAGGTCACTGCTTTTACTCGTACATTCAACGCTAAATCGCTCCACTTCAATCTTTATTATTCGACAATGTATTATTTGTCCTATGCTTACTCTTTCTTCGGGATTCGCAACATGTCTATCAGATAAATTTTTTATGTGAATATAACCAGATATTCCATTATCTAATCTTAATCTAATTCCAGTAGCTTTGCCAGGACAAGCTCCGGCATCAAAATGATTCCATACTTCAGACAGTTCAGGAAAATCATTTTTCAACAAAATGGGCATTGCCATAATCCAGTTTCATCATTTCTTACAGGATTAGCTTGATCTAATTGATCACCCTGTGGTTTTCTATGACTTATTCCTATCACCGTAGCCAATACTAATTTTCCCACATAAAATGTTTCTGGAGTTTCTTTCGTTAAAATATCGAATAATCGTTCTGCGCTTGGCGACTGATATGGTACACGTAAATCTTTATACCTGCAATTTAATTCTGCTCTGATATCGTATAATGTAACGCATTTATTGCCGAAACCTTGTCTCTCGAGTTCTTCCGCAAATGCATCCAGGTCAAGATCTTTCAATCTCTCAGGAGATTCAAGAATCTCTTCGAGTGCTCCAGCAGGATTAGCATCTTCGTCATCGTATTCCAAAGCATCGACTGCCATTTTTCTTGCCCATTCATATGTTTCGGGATGTACTCGAGATCCATCAAGAACTTCTACATAAGCTTCAGTGCTGTCTCCTAAACTGTTCGTATCTATTTTAATAAAACCCGCACAGTTAATAAAAACTTTAGGTCCCATGTGACAAGCAGTTACCAATTGCGTTCTATTTTCTAATCTTTGATTAGTTTGCTTTAACATTTTGATCAATGCCTGTCCTTTTCTTGGCCCCAAACCGCACACGAATTGAACTAAATTTCCGCAATAAGCTTGTTGTACCGCCTTATTCACATCAACACCGACTTCGTTTACGCGATTCACAAATTCTAAATATAAGTTATCCAAAAGTTCATCTTTTGGCAATTGATCTTGTAAACTGTGATACTTTAAACATAAAATTTCTTCATCAGCAGTGCATAATTGAGAAAATTCTACCAAAGGATCTTGCATTCTTCTACCTAGTGAAATAGCTTGTCGCAATAATTCCGGATAATCCCGAAATTCGGATATACCTTTATTACTGTTTGAGTAGATTTTAGCTAATTCATTGTCACAAATTTCTATCTTAATGTTTGGAAATTGTTCTTCTTCTACTAGATTTGCAATGCATTCCTTAATGTCAGCAGCGATCATCATTGCTTCTCTCGATTCACCGCCTATTACTATAACATGTGGTTTTTTTGTCGCTATAAAATTTCTGATTGCTAACAAGTCAGCTTCCTTCATGGTTTTTTCATCTTCTCGGTAACTATTTTTCCGTTTCATCAAATGTGGTAATCTTAAATAGTCCGTGCATTCTCCATCAGGTGCAATTAGACAAGCAAACGCGGCTTGAGAATAATCTGGAACATAAGCTAAACCCATAACTCGAAGTCCTTTCGTAGTATCCCATTCCTCATCTTCTTCCTCTGGAAATTCACAGATATAAGGCGCAACTTTGATCCAATTGTACATTTTACGACAACATGCTCTCATTACGCATTCTTTAGCTTCCGCAATAAGATTTGCTCTTAATTCTTTTTTCAAACTTGGTAGAACTATACGTGTAAGAGCTATTTCGACACTTCCAACTCTCAATGCATTCCAGTCTTGAACATTTTTACTGAATTCGTCTCGATAATAAAGCTGTTTCATTTCATCAACGTAATTGTTACTGGTATTTCCTTCGATGCTATCGCTTAAAGTTATCGTGATTAATTTATCTTCTTCAGCTATGATTAAATTTAAAAACTGATCTCCGACTAAATCTCGCACTGGTTTATTCTTCAGATATTTCATCCCGTATATTGGATGATTTTCATCTATCTCTTTAATTCCTTTTTTCGTGGGTTTTACTGATATTTTTGCTCTTTCCATATACATTTCTCGGACGCATCTTTTTACCAAAGGTTCGCGCGCTAATTGAATAGCTACCATTAATTGAACAGCTTTTAATACTTCTTCTGGATTATTAAGTATTTGACTACAATATTCATTAGCAATGATTAATGGTTCAGTTGGTTCTTGATCCACTTCATGTCGTTGATAATTATCTCGCAAATTTTCAGCAAAATGTTCGGGAGTAAGACCAAATTTTTTTGCAAGACTATCAAGGCCAGCTCGCCTACAAATAGAATACGGACCAGTTCGAACAGCTTGTTTCAATGTTTCATCCGCTTCCTCTTCTTCTTCTACATCTACTTCTTCTTCTGGAGGATCTTCTCCATTTTCTTCGGCGCCAGCAATTTGCTGTTTTCGTTTTTGAATCTTGGCTTCCTTGCGTGCTTTTTTCTCTTTCTGACGAGCAGCTTCTTGCATCGTTGGAATTTCATGACTATAATATAACATGAAGTGATAATAAACATCGTTTAATTCTTCGCTAGTTTGTACGTTTTTCAATCGTTCTATGTCATCATCTTTAATCAATCGTATGTTATCTGGTAAAGGAGCATCAGGATTTTTCATAATTTCGTCTAATTGATAATTTCTCATTTTATCGAATAATTTTAATAAATTTTCTTTTCTTTGACGAAGTTGACACCATTTCGCATCAAACTTATATACTTTCCAAAGATCGTTAATGTTTAATTCCGGTAAAACATATTCCTTTCTATAAAATGATATAAAAGGCACCTCAAATTGTTGATTTCGCATGAAATCCAAAGCTTTTTTAATTTTACCGATCGTTTGAGGCCCCTTTCGAGCCCTTTCTTTAGCTTCGGCATTTAAATGTGCATCTTGAATTGAAATAGTTGGTCGACAAAAAGCTTGTTTATAAATCCATTCTGCCTCTAGATCTAACTCATCGGAACCCTCCGCAACTGGAGTAACAGGAATAGTACGAAGTTGCATTCTTTCCGGTATATCTGTATTTCGTATTTCATTATCCATATCGGTGAAATGACCACGTTTAAGTTCGCTCGGTTCATAAATTTCAAATATACTTTTTCTCGTTGTTTTCTTTTTCAGTTGTTTTTTCGGTCTTCGTGGTCTTTCGGTATCTTCATCATCCATATATTCATCTTCCTCTTCTTCTTCTTCTTCTTCATCTTCCTCATAATCTTCTTCACCATATTTACCAAATTCATCATAATCAAAATCAACACCAAAAATATCTTGTGCTTCTTGTAATGCTGCATCAGAAAATATTGGTTTTTTCTTCTTTCGTTTTTCTGCAATTGGCCTACCATCGTCGTCAACGATAAAATCATCCGCATCGGTATATTCTCCTTCGCTTCCTTCTTCATCAAATGTATCCACCTCAGGTCTATGACTGCGTTCACTTCTCCTCTCATCTTCCTAATTCATAATGAAAATACAAGGATAGAATGAAAAAAAGGTAATAAAAAATAAAAAAGAAACAAATGATTTTTCTTTTAAGATATTGTTATATTTATTTTCACATACCATAGTAATCTCTCTTTCCTGATGTAAGTATAGAAATAAATTAAAAAGTTAAACAATAAAGAAATTTGAACTTGGACTTGAAAATATTATATAAATATTATATAAATATAACTTACATCACCAGAGCCTTCAAAAAGTTCATTTGCAATAGCATCTCTATCATCATCCACTTCCTTTTCTTGTTCTTCCTCTGATTCTTCATCTTGAATCCTACGAAGGCGTTTGAAACGTTTCTAAAGTAAAAAATTATATTTGGTTAATTTTATATATTTTATTAAATACCTTTTAATTAATTCATACATACTCTTTCAACTTTAACTCCCAAATTCTCTTCTATCAAATCATAATCTTCATCTTCTAAACGATCATCAAAATCTTCATCATCACTCTTTTTACGTTTTTTGGATGCTCCAGAAGCATCACTGTCTTCTCCTTCACTTTCTTCTATAGGATTATCATCAATGAGATCTTTAAGTTCTTCACGTAAACGATCTTCATCATCTGTAAACAATTAATAGATATATCATTGATATTTATTAATTATAAAATAAAATATATAATATATTTGTAAATTTAAATATAAAAAGAAATTTATGAAATATTATGATACAACCTTGGAATGTATTACTCTATCCTCACCTTCCTCCTCTTCTTCATCACTTTCTGCCACAGCTTTTATTTTCTTCAATTTTTTCTTTTCATTATCGTCTAATTCCTCTTCCTCCTAAAATAATATAATAAAGCATTGATCAGAGACATAACTTTTATATGATTAAAGAATTTATATATATATATATATATATTTATCATGATATTAAAACTTAATGTTACATATACCTCGCTTTCTTCTGCTTCTGAATCTAAAAAATCGGCCATTTTTTTGACAATTAGTTTTGATTCGAATTGACAGAATTCACTTTGATTCGCAACAACTTAAACGATCGTAGATGAGACGAGAGCAAGAACTTAACTTGGATCCAACTAGTTTAGGAATCTGTCGTTAATAGGGAAATTATCAGTGTTCATATCTCTATATATAACCCTAGTAAAAGACAACAGAGTTATCTATATAAATTAATTAACATTTTCATTTTTTGTTGATTTTTGTTTTATAAATTTAATATATTTCTATTCATTCTTGTTTATTCAATTTGATATTATAATCAGATTTTGAAATTTTAATTTAATATTATAAAAAAAATAATATAATATGTCATACTATACTATTGCATAGTTCATGTTCGCATCATACTTGTCAATTTAAAAAAATATCAGTTAAATTTTTTTTAACAAGTGATTTATTTTGGTAAGAATTAAATATTTATTTACATTTTAAATTAATATAAATTTTTACATGTATAATTTAATATAAACTTTTTAAATTTGTACAAGAAAATTAATAATATTTATAGAAGTTCGGATGGAGGAAAGTTTTAGTCAGTGGCGCGATTCGCCTTGTGTTATTAAAGATAAAGAAAAATCTTTTGTTATTTCGGATAGTGACGAAGACGAAAATAAAAATATTGAAAAAGAACAAATTTTTGTGATTGAAAGTAGTGATAGCAGCACAAATGTTTCTGCAAATTTAACGTCGAGAACGTAAGCAATATCTTCAACAGATTTTAATTATCACTTAACTTAATTTTAATGAAATAATAATATTCTATTGCTCTATGATTTTCTTTCTTTAGATCTTCGTCTGAAAATTTATCATTAACAGAGAAAACAATAAAGAGAAGAATTAGGAAGCATATTTTTTACTCTGATGATGAAGATGCTAAAAATAATGATGAAAATGATTCTTTATCAACTAGTGATATCGAAGAGGATAATATTAATGATAATGTATCAAATGGTATCATATTTTATTAAGAATAGAATAACTTTGATTTTAATGTTATTAATTTGATTTATTTATCAGATGAACAAATGATAAACATCAGTGCTGAAGTAAAGGATAACAAAGAATCACAAGATGCTTCAGAGAATAAAGAGAATATAGATGTTTTTAATATATCTAAAAACATATCAAACAATAATAGTTTGACTACGAAACATGATTCTAAAGAAAAAATAAAATATAAAAAATCATATTATTTAACTGATTCAGGTATAATATTTTTGTAGTAGTTTTTCTCTTATTTTAAAACTATTACATTACCGTAAATTTATTATATATTTATTGAATTGATTTGAATTTATTGAATTTCTAAATTTTTTCCTTTTGAAGATGAAGAAAATATTCCACAATCTGAAATTGCAATTTCTTTAGCAAAACAAGAAATAGGTGTTGGTAATATAGATCCATTGATTGCTCAAAAAAGAGCTCTTCTTGTTTGTAAAATGGAACAATTACAAAAAGAGTTAAACAAAACAAAGGTAAATCCAATTAATTTCATATCAATAAAGTAAGAAAGTAAAATATATATAAAAATATATATTTTTAAGATGATATATGTATATTATTTCTAGCTATTGTTCACTACTGGTAATATTAGTTTATTACCAGACAATGGAGAAAAGTTACGTGAAAGTATTGCAATGCAAGAAAAACAATAGAAGAAATTGCAATTGAATTAGAAAATACACCTTTAACACAAACTACTAAATCTATTGAAGAAGAAGAACTTACTACGCAAGAATATCCTGACAAATTCGATTCTTCTTATAATCTCGATTATATGTCGTTGAAATTGAAATCATCTCCAAAAGCTAAAGAACTTGGGAAAAAAGCTCAAGCAACATTGGACAGAGAATTAACTTTAACAGTCGATAGATTGCAAGATTTGCATGGATCTCTTATAGCTAGACCGACGGAAGAAGAAAGAGCGAACGATCCTCAAGGTTTAAAAGTAAAATTAATGCCGCATCAACAACACGCGTTAGCATGGTTAATGTGGAGAGAACAACAAAGACCTCCTGGTGGAGTTCTTGCTGATGATATGGGTTTAGGTAAAACTTTAACAATGATATCTTTAATTATAGCCAGTATTGCAAAAGAAAGATCAAAAGAAGATGAAGTATATAATGACGAGGAATGGATAGATAATAACACACCATTGCAATATAAAGGTGGTACACTCGTAGTTTGTCCAGCATCTTTATTATCACAATGGGAAAATGAAATAAACCACAGATGTAAACGTGGTATGCTCTCTGTTGAAGTTTATCATGGTACAAATCGGGAAAGTGTACCAAAAAGATTAGCAAAAAACGATGTAGTTATTACAACGTATAATATTTTAACCCGTGAATTTAAGACCAATTCCACAGTATATAAGATTCATTGGAAACGCATTATTCTTGACGAAGCACATATAATTCGAAATCATAAAAGTCAAGCTTCTCAATCGGTATGTGGTTTACTAGCAAATAAACGATGGGCTCTTACTGGGACACCTATTCAAAATAAGGAAATGGATTTATATTCTATTTTAAAATTTTTAAAATGTTCTCCTTTTGATGATTTACGAGTATGGAAACGTTGGGTAGATAACAAAAATGCTGCTGGTCGTCAACGTTTAATAACTGTAATGAAAACATTAATGTTACGTAGAACAAAACAAGAACTTCAAGTTAATGGCATGTTAGAAAGTCTCCCGGAAAAATTTGTGGAAGAAATATTCGTAAAACTCGATTCACAGGAACAATTGGTATATGAGAAAGTATTGATTTATTCTCGTACATTATTTGCTCAATTTTTGGCTCAAAGAGCTGAAAAAGATCACATGGTTGATTTAGCCGCCGGAAAATATGATAAACCAACGTTTCTTTCGAATCCAAGTAAATATATATATTAAATTATTAATATCAATATTATATTAATTTATTATATATAATAATTTATTAATATTATATATTATAACGCTAATAACACATCAAAATATTCATATATTATCTTTTTTTTTTTTTTTTTCAGACAAAAATACTCAATTTACGATGGCACAGAATAAATTATTATCGTTACACGCGGACGTGAAAACGCATGAAATTTTAGTTCTTTTACTAAGATTACGTCAAATTTGTGTTCATCCATCACTTATTTATTCCATGTTAGATCAAGAAGATATGAAAGAAAGCGGAATGGTAGAAACAGAAAATTTAGATCCAAACTTATTATCGCAGATCAATAATATGACATTAAAAGATTCGGAAAATAATGAAGAAACGGACAATGAAATAGATATAGGTGTTGATTGCAGAGTAACTACCAATTTACTTACATCTAAAAATCCTGTATTTAAATCTGATCGTATAAGTTCCAAGGTGAATTTTTTTTTTTTTTATACGATTATAAGACATTATTCGATATTAAGTTAACATATTTAATTTATTTGTATCTTGAATGTAGATAAAGATGGTCCTTGAAACGGTGAAGGAAATTTTAGAAAAAAATGATAAATTAATCATTGTTTCTCAATGGACAAGTACGTTAAATATTATCGCATCTTGTTTATCTTCGATAAAAGATGCCAGTTTTGATATGTTCACGGGAAATGTACCTATTAAGGAAAGACAGGTAGTTTTGGAATGAATGATATTTTTCAGTCATATCGAGTGGTATTATTTCAAATGTATGGAATATTTTTATAGGGTATAATGGATTCGTTCAACACTCCAAATAATAAGCCAAAAATATTATTGCTCTCACTTACTGCAGGAGGAGTTGGATTAAATTTAGTAGGTGGAAATCACTTATTGCTAATAGATATTCACTGGAATCCACAATTAGAAGTACAAGCTCAAGATAGAATATATCGTTTTGGACAGAAAAAAAATGTGTTCATATACAAGTTAGAAATTATCGTTATTAAAAAATTTTTAAAAATTCGCAACAAAACATATCATTTTATAATATTAATATATTATTTTCTAGGTTTATTTGCAAAGATACAATAGAAGAACGTATAAAACATTTGCAAGAAAAGAAAATGGAAATAGCGCAAAATGTTCTCAGTGGCGATAAAAATTCCACTGTTTCGAAACTCACGCTTGATGATCTTAAATCACTATTCGCTCTTTAAAGTTTAAATTTTTAAAGAAATTCTTTATTTTTATAATAATTTTGAAATATAAATAGAAAATCTACTTTTAAATATGCAGATCGATCATTCCTTTACCTTCAAGATAAAATATTCTTCAACTTATTACTCATCGCAATATCAAATTAATTCAATTAACAAAGCAAGTATCTCTGATTTATCCAAAATTTTTATTATGAAAATGAAATACATAGAAAATTTCGTGTCATTTAAGTGAAGAGAAATCATTGGTTTTCCATGTGTCTTCATTAGTATAACCATTTTCAGGTAGTTTCGTGTGTTTATCTTTTCTCATTTTACTATGCCAAACACCATAAAAAAAGTATATTCCAAGTCCTACAAGAAATAATCTTTCTGTTTAATTATATTAATTTAAAATCATCATTATTTCTATTGATATTCTTTATTTACCAACTATCATCCATATTAAAAATCTTATCCATGTCATTTTATCCAACATCATCATGAGATAAATATTAATAATAATACTGAAAGCAGGCAAAAATGGCACTAACGGAACCTAAAAGTCGACACGACAAAAATTGTTATTATATATTAAATATTTATAGTAGACGATAACGAAAATAGCACATACTGAAAATGCAAGATTCTTTCCAGAAGTCGGTTGAAGATAAATAAAAATAAGAATAACGATAAGGACTAATAGCAGAATTGCTAATGGAACGATAAGTGTAATTTTACCATTCATTATATCATCGGTAAAAATTGAAACTATAATACCGATGCAAATACATAGAATAACTGTAAAGAATACAAATTAGAATAGCAAGTGTAATATTGTAAAAAGTTATCTCCTAATCTCGATCGAAGTGAGAAATATACCATAACACACAACAAGGTAAGTAACAATTTGGGACGTTAATTTCGTCGAATGATTTAACCCATTAGCGTTAATTAACTGTCTCGCGATAAATTTCAAGGTTCTTGGATCACGGTCCCCCTTTTTTTTGTAGGCTTCGCTTTCCTCGTATCTGAAACAATCCAAAAT